GGCGCAGGGGGGCCTGGCAGCCGGCCCCGAGGCAGGGAGGGGACCGCTGCCCAGGGGTGCCATGTGATGCGGAAGAGCCTCCATCCTGCATTCACATCCCATAAATCCACAGACTTGCTTGGCATGGAGCTCCCTGGAGCCCGGCAACCCCCTTGCACTCACCTCTGTCTCCTGCCTTGGTCGTGGCCGGAGTGGGATGTTGGCGCTGCCAGGACGGTTGTCCTGGGCTAATCCATGCGCTGGTTCCCAGGCTGTTTCCGACAGGCGCTGGTGAGTCCGGCTCTGCCGGCTCCGGCCAGCCCAGGGAGCATGGGGCCGGTGAGGCGCATTTGCTGCATCGGGGCTGGCTACGTGGGGGGGCCCACGTGCAGCGTCATTGCCCAGATGTGCCCAGAAATCACCGTCACCGTGGTGGACATCAACGAGGAGCGCATTCAGGCCTGGAACTCAGAGCAGCTGCCCATCTTCGAGGTGAGGCCCTGCCAGGTCGAAAGGCTTCAGTCTGCATGGGATGACCGGGTGTTCCTGGCTGCTGGGGAGCTGCTGTACCTCTTCCTCAGCACTTCCTTCCCCAAATTCCAGCTCTGGCTGCTGCTGGGTGCTCTGCAGGTGGTGCCCACCTCTCCGCCCTGCATCCCCGGTATCAGGGGCCCACGCTCGTTCCTCTCCTTTGCAGCCTGGCCTGCAGGAGGTGGTGGAGGCCCAGCGTGGCGTCAACCTCTTCTTCTCAACTGACATTGACCAGGCAGTGAGAGAGGCTGATATCATCTTCATATCAGTGAGTGGGGAGGGCAGCCCATGGCTGAGTCCTGCCACAGGCTGTGCCCCTCTGCAGGGCTTGGTGGCACGGATAGCACCGCCCCCCCCCTTTTCTTTCTTTCCAACCGCTGTGACCACTCAACTCTTCTGACGTGTTGGCTCCTCTGTCAGGTGAACACTCCCACCAAGACCTTTGGGCTTGGCAAGGGCCGGGCGGCTGATCTGAAGTACATCGAGGCTTGTGCCCGGCGTATCGCCCAGGTAGCCACGGGCTACAAGATCGTGGTGGAAAAGAGCACAGTGCCTGTGCGGGCAGCTGAGAGCATCCAGCGCATCTTCAGCGCCAATACCAAATCCAACCTGTCCTTCCAGGTACAGCAGGGTCTGGCAGAGTGCTCCCTCCCACTGCCACTGGCTGGGGAGTACAGGAAGATGTGACTTCAGCAGAGAGATCCTATTGCTAGATATAGGGACAGCAAGAGCTGGGAGAAAGAGACGCTGTGAGTAGCATCATCCCACACCCATGTGGCCTCATCTCCACAGGTCTTGTCCAACCCTGAGTTTTTGGCTGAAGGAACGGCCATCTCCGACCTGAAGAACCCCGACCGCGTCCTCATTGGTGGTGATGAGACACCTGAAGGGCAGAGGGCAATCGAAACCCTCAGCAGCATATACATGCGCTGGGTGCCCCAAACTCGCATCATCACCACCAACACATGGTCTTCAGAGCTCTCCAAGCTGGTATGTGCTGCTGTCCCCAGACTGGCCTAGTTGATGGCGACAAGGGTCCCATGTGTCCTCTTTTGCCCAGGCTGCCAACGCATTCCTGGCCCAGAGGATCAGCAGCATTAACTCCATCAGCGCCCTGTGCGAGGTGACGGGGGCTGATGTGGAAGAAGTTGCCCATGCCATTGGCACAGACCAGCGCATCGGCAATCGCTTCCTCAAGGCCAGCGTGGGTGAGTCCTGTGCCCTCTGTGCCAGGGGGGTGATTGCAGCCCCCTGGCCCCCACCGTTCTGTGCCCAGGAAGTTTGTGCTCCTCTGCCCCAGGAAGCATGAGCCTGAGCCTGCACTGGCATCCAGGCTGGGACATCTTGTCTAGACTGATGAGACACATCTTCCTGTTAGCTCACTTGTCCCTTACCAGCCCTAGTGTCCCCCTGGCCTGTCCCAGCTTGTCATCTGCCCTTCCCAGTGCAGGGGTGGAGGAGGAGGTTTGGAGCTTCCCCTTTCCAAGGCAACCTTTAAGGTCTCCAATTAGCACTCCCTGACTATAGTGATCTGTCAGAGCAGGTTTTGGGGGCAGCTGTTTCCAAAAAGATGTCCTCAACCTGGTCTATCTCTGTGAGGCTCTCAACTTGCCCGAAGTGGCTCGATACTGGCAGCAGGTAAGGCCAGGCCAGGCTCCTGTTCCAGCCAGCGCGAGGGCTGGAGTCCTGCTCAAGGAGTGGGTCTCACCACAGCCCCTGGGCTGGGGCTCAGTGCCTGGCCTGACCCGTCACAACTCGTCCCACCAGGTGATTGAGATCAACGAGTACCAGCGGCGGCGATTCGCCCCCCGTATCGTCAGCTGCCTCTTCAACACTGTCACGGACAAGAAGATTGCACTGTTGGGCTTCGCCTTCAAAAAGGACACGGGGGACACAAGGTACCAGCTGGGATAGGGGTGGCGGGTCACAGGTTACAGGTGTGATGAGTGTGTTGCTCCAGCTCCACCTCAGAGCGGCAGCAAAAGGACTTTCTTGATGTCCCCATGATGTCCTGGTGATAGTGAGCCCTTTGGAGCCACCGTGGGAGGTGGGATTGGCCCAGCAAGTCCCCGGGCTGGTGATGGCTGAACTTGGAGCTAGAGAGAGGCTGGTCAAGCCATGGACCCTGTGGGGAAAGTCAAAGGCAGCGTTTAAAGGAAATGTGAGGGCCAGGCACAGGGAGGAACTGGGGCTGGCAAGCAAGGGCTGCTCCCCAACCCTGGGCCCCAGCTCCATCAGACGACTGATCACTACGAGGAGGGCGTGCAGGGCCTCTGCAGGGCTCAGCTCTGCCTCTCTCGGCCCAGGGAGTCATCCAGCATCTACATCAGCAAGTACCTGATGGACGAGGGCGCCCACCTGCACATCTATGACCCCAAGGTGAAGAAGGAGCAGATCGTGCAGGACCTGTCGCACTCCACTGCCTCAGCTGAGGAGCCTGAGCGGGGTAGGGCCAGTGGCTTGCAGGCCGCTCTCCAGCCCCAAAGCCTGGCAGAGATCTCTGGTTCCATCTCAGGCCCCGGCAGTTGTGTCCCAGCAGGCAGCATCCTGCTGTGCTTATGTTGGTTCTTGTCTTGCAGGGCTCAGCCTGGTCTCCATTGCCTCAGACCCTTATGAAGCCTGTGACAATGCCCATGCCATTGTCATCTGCACTGAATGGGACATCTTCAAGGTAAGGGGTCCCAATCTGGGCCAACTTGCTGCTCAACTTCCAGCCCTCGTTCTCACCAGCAGGAAGCTCCCCCTGTGTGTTATTCCAGGAGCTGGACTACGAGCGAATCTACCAGGCCATGCTCAAGCCGGCCTTCATCTTTGACGGCAGGAGGATCCTGGACAGCCTGCATGGCCGGCTGCAGCAGCTGGGCTTCCAGGTATGGCCTTGGTGCCCACAGGGCTGCAGCTGCTGGCTGTGGTGCCCAGGGTACTGTCAGGCCTGGGGTGTGCTCAGGGCTGGCACCCATGGGCTCTTGTGCTCCAGGTGGAGACCATTGGCAAGAGGATCAGCCAGCGTATCCCCTTTGCGGCCAGCACCATTGCCCAGCTGAACCTCCAGGCTCCCCCTTTGAAGAAGTTGAAGCTCTGATGTATCTGCAGGTGCATGATAAGATAAAGCTGAAGATGATGTATCTGTTCTGGTGTGCACTACTGGCCATGAATAAGGGGTGGTCTTCCTGGGTACAGGCACTGCTCCTCTCAGGGGTCTCTCTGAGGCTGAACTGATCTCTCTCCTCCCAGATCGTTGTAATAGAGAGACTTGGCAGCTGTATAAGCTGGAGTGAGCTGCCTCCAGCTCTGCTCCTGAGGACTCGTGGCTTCCTCCATAGTCCTGAGCCACACCAAAGCAGGACACAGCCCCGTGGCCCCTGTGCCAAGTGCAGCTGTGCGAGGTGAGGGAGTCCCCTGCTCCTGCACAGGGGGAGGGCCCCACGCTCATGGGAACACTCTATGGCCAGCCCCATGAGCCAGGGGCTCATCCTATCTTCTGCTGGCCTGAGGTAGGAGGTGTTGGCTCAGGCCATCGGGTTTGGGGGTTTGTTCCTTCCTCTGAAACACCTCCCAGGGGCTATCCAGCAAGTAGCCACAGGCCCCTGGCCAAACAGGGGCTTGGGGCAGAGGGGGAAGTTGCTGAGCCCTCCCTGTGCTTCACATGGAACCCAAGGAGACCAGATTCTCAGGCTTGAACTCCAATTCCTGAAGGATCTTGCTTCAGGAAGCCGTGGGGGAGTAGACCTGTACCTTCTGCTGCTCTGGTTCTGCTCTTGAGGGAAGCGGTCAGGCTCCTAGCAGGGCTGGGTGCCTTGTTAGAGGCAAGACTGAGGGAGGAGCTGGCGGTGGATGTAGAGATCCAGACGGACCTGCCTGTGAGGCTCTGGTGCCCGGGACACAGATGCTCCGAAGAGCTCCCACGGTCCCGTTGGTGGTGCAGCCTCTGCTCCGGCATCTCTTAGGCCTCCCTGGCTGACTGGAGGTGGGTGCAGCAGCATGGAGGGGGCAGGGGGTGGGACGGACACCACCTTGCAGACAGACTCCTTGCAGGGTGACCGCTCCAAGAGAGTCCCTGAGGGGGTCACTCCTGGTAGCAGAGACAGAGCCAGGGAAGCCCAGAGAAACTCAGCCCTTCGACCGGGGAACATGGGGCTGGGGCAGGGAGTCACCAAAAGGCTGGGGCTGGGGACAAGAAGGTGCTCCAGAAAGCAATTTGGGAGCCCTGGGATGCAAGCAAAGAGAAAACAAGGCCTCTAGGGAAAACTAAAAAGCATCTTGAGGGCTCTGGGTTGCACTTGAGGGCACAGGGATCTTCTCTGGCAGGCAAACAGGAGCTCTGTAGGGCTCAGTGAAGCATTCAAAGGGCTCTGGCAGCCAAACAGGGAGCCTTGGTGCACTCAAAGGCAACCTAGAGCATGGCACCTTGCAAGGCAGGGCCCGGAGGGTGCTGCAAAAGCAAAGAGAGGGTTCCGAGAGGCTCTTGGTTACAGGGAGGTGGTGGTATGTGCCAAAAGGCAGAGCTGCCTAGGGAGAGTAGAGAAAGCCACAGGAGAAAGATCAGCCGCATCCACAGCTCTGGAAAGTCCCAAAGGCCCCAAGGTGGCATGGAGAGCTTATGAGTAGCAAGCAGACACTCTAGAGAGGCCTCAGGGATGCAATGAAAGGCAATGGAAGGGTTCTGGGATCACATGGATGGCTTTCAGCAGGGACATGGATGGTCTGGATAGCAGCAAGAGTAAACTGAAGAGCTCCTCTTGGACACCAAAAGCAAAACAGGACAACAGTGAGCAGGGAAAAGGAGGCGGAGAGGCTTTAGGGAAACCAAAGGGCAGGTGGAGGGTGGTGGCTGGCACCAGGAGTGCAAGGCCTTCGTGTCAGGGCCTTTGCACAGTGTAGGGCATCACGACACCTCAGAGGGCGAGAGGGCCAAGGAAATAGAGTGCTCTGGAGTGCACAGAAAGCCGTGTAGAGGGACAGAGGGTGCACTGAAAGGTACACGGAGAGCTCCAGCATCACCAGAAGCCCCATCATGAGCCTTGGGGCTCAACCAAGAACATCACAGTTGCATGCCCAGTGATCCAGAAAGCACAGAAAGCTCTGGGTCTCACTGAGACATGGGGTTAAGCTTCTTGCGTGTTTTGTGCCAGCCGAGCCCACCAGTGATGCTGCCAGTATTGCTCCAGCTCCGTCCCTGGCATCCCAGTTCACGCCATCCTACCTACCTAGGAGGCCATGTCCATCTTCCCCTGTGGACCTGAGTCCTCACAGTACCCGGGAGCCCAGGGACAAGCTGTCACCCTGGCTCAGAGCCTGGGCAGACACGGAGCTCAGGCCCCCACATGCAGAGCTGCCCCTTGGGGCCACAGGAACGGCGGGAGCAAAAGACAACACGACACAGTGGGCACCATCCAGGCTGCTTTAATGCCAAGGGGCTGGCATGCAGCCTGTCCTCCTGGTGCTGAGGACTCATTCATAGATGGCTGATAGTCCCACAGCTGCCTCCTCCCAGCCCACAGATCCACACAGCCCCTCATCCCCCACAGCCTGCAGGCGCTCTCCTAATTAAAAACCAGCTCTGTGGCACATCGGACATGCTCCCTTTAGCAGGACAGTGCCCACGCATGGCCCCATCCCCATCTTGGCCATCGGCCCCGTGCCAGGTACCAAGCATGCCAGTGAGGAGAGCCACGGCCACGCACGGTGTCTGTGATCCCAGGCCAGCCCCTGCCATCCCCTCAGCCTTTCTGGCCTTCACCTGCTGCCAGGGGTCCCTTCAAGCAGGTTCCGCTTCTCCCAGGACCTAAATCCGGCTTCCTCACCGGAGCAGAGCAACACAAACCAGTTAAAGAAAAGCAAAATCAGGTGGGGAACAACACTTCCCCCCAGGAAGAGAACAGAACCAAGTGCTGGCTGGGGATAGGGCAGTCATCACGGACTGTGACAGCACCTCCATCCTCTGGAGCCAGCTCTCAAACTCAAACAAACTCAAACCCAAACAAACAGGACCACATCCACGGCTGGGCCTGCGTCCCGCTCCTGTGGACTGGCGACGAGCAGCCTAGTGCTTCAGGCCTGGCCCATGGTTCGGTGGGACACCTGCCTAGGCCACCTCGCACCCTGTGACAGAGAGAACATCAAGATCTGTGTGGCTCTGCAGGAAGCCAGGATCTCAACATCCCAAGGCCTCCTCCCAGCTTCTCATGCACCCTCTGCATCCAGCCTGGAGCCCGCCCCACACTCCCAGCTCCTGGAGTTACGTAGGCCTGGGCTTTGGCAGCGTTTCTCAACTGGGATCCCTGCCTGAGCCACCAAGCTGGGCTGGTTCGTTCCCAGGTTGTATCCCAACCTGCCCTATGGAGCGCCAAACTCCCACAGTTCCGGGAGATGCTCCAGGATGTGGGGAGAGCTGGGGTTTGGGCTGGTTCTGCATGAGGACTCACCCAGTATCCTGAGCACCTGCATCGCCAGCATGTCCTTTGCCTTGTCGTGCCCACTGGCACCTGACACATCCTGCCGGACCCACGTGAACCCACTCATGGGCAGCGGGTACCCCGGGATCACCACTTGGCACCAGAAGCGCAGCCACCCGTCAGGGTTGGCCTGGACACACTTTGTGAAAAACAAGGGGGTACCCAGGTGCCGCCTCCAGCACAGGGTGTCCAGGAGGTCCAGCGCCTTGCCCTGCACTGGAGAGAGGGGCACATGCGCCTGCTTGGGGCTCCCTGGACACTTGCCATGGGATACCCAGGTGGCAGAGGACGTCTCCTCGCTGTATCGCAGTTTCTGCTTCAGGTCAGGTTTCAGCCACTCCACCCTCAGCTCCTCCTCCGAGATCCTCCTGTTCCCTGCATGAGAGGCAGACCCCAGGCTGCAGGAGACACTTGGCCACCAGCCCTCTCCCTCACAGGCACTGCAGACTGGGCAGCCCCCATCATACGGTCCCCTCCTGCTTCCCAGCATCTGGCAGGATGACCCAAGGGCTGGCCTAACTGCACTCTAACAGAGCCAAATGTTTCTCATTTGGGGCAGATGAAACTTGGGGACATGGATGAAAATTTGGACTTGAGAGGTTCAGGTTGGACTTTTGGGAAACGCGTCCCTTAGGAGGGCAGTGGAGCCTTGGGGCAGGGCACTGAGAGGGCTGATGCCTCCACCAAGGGTGTTTGCAGAACTTGGCCAAAGCCCCACCCAGCCCTCTCTTGTATTGGTGCCGTTCCTGCTCTGAGCAGGCAGTTACACTGAGCACCTCTGGGTGCCCCCAGCACTGTTCGATTCGCATGAGGACGGCCAGGGATCTGCCTCATGGAGGACTACCGGCCGCAGAGGGAACATGGGGAGAGGGCAGAAGCTGCCCCAGAGCTAAAGTCACTTCTCCATTGAGCCTGGAGCTGTGGCCAGTTCTTGCCTAGAGACCCCAGGAAGGCAAGGCCCCGCTCCATCCCACGCCACCCAAGTGTCCCAGTACCTTCCATGAGGCTTTTCTTGGCCATGGCAGCAGCCTGGTGCGAGCTGTACTTCAGCACAGCAAGCTGGGCCTGTTTCCGGTATGGGCTGGGATACAGGGTGATGCTGAGGATGCCCTCAGCAGCCTCCTGCAGCAGGATCTTCAGGTGCTTCTGGCTCAGTGAGGTGGCCAGGCCATCCATGCTCAGCTCACACTTCTCTGTGCTCTTGCACACCAGGATGGAGTAGCCTTTCTGCACCTCAAAGTTGTTGAGGGCAGTGACGGCCATCTTGGCACTGCGCCGATTGCTGTACTTGGCGTAGGCAAAGCCCCGATTGAGCCCACTGAACGTCATCATGAGCCGAAACTCGTAGAGCTTTCCCACGCTCTGGAAGAGGGGGATCAGCGTGTTCTCATACATATCTTGCGGCAACTTCCCGATGAACACCTCTGAGCCTGTTGGTGGGGGGTCACCCACCCAGCCTGTAGGGTGACAGTGACATGGTGCATGTGGGCAAGATCCGCTTGGCCACCAGGCACCTGGGCATGCTGAGCTCCCAGGGCACGGCAGGACCGGAGCACCCTTCATGTACCTGGTGGCGGGCCGCCGTATCGCCTCTGCCCGTTGATCTGCACCAGGTTGATGCCAGTCTCTTTCACCCAGGTGAGCAGGGCTATCTTATTGACTTGGTTGACGCTGTCAGGCCAGGTCTGCAAAGGCAGATATTGCCCATACAGCTCTGGGCAAAAAGTTTCCAGCCTCCCAACTGGGGGCATCCCAACCCCAACTTTGGAAACAGAGACACGGGCACCTGCTTGATAGCCTGCAATACTGCAAGAAAGGCTAGAGCCAAGATGGCCTATCTTAATGTAGAACTGCAGCATGGCTGGGATCCCCCACCAGCCAACTCTCTTTTCTGCCAGCATCTTCCCAAGCTTTGGGATCACAAGATTGTCAATAAGGGACTGAAAACTCCACCTGTGTGCCCACCTTACATTTTAGCTCATTAATTGTTGCAAGGTCCCACTTGGGCCTCTGAATACCATGAACAGAGCAGAATTAAAGTTATCATTATCGGGTTTTAACCTGAGGCATTTTTGTGCCATCAGGCAAGAGCTACTTTCTCTCTCCAAGGCATCCGCCCTTCCTGGAGGGCAGCAAACTTTTGTTTCGAGATGGGGCCCTTGATGAGGGTCATTTCTGCTGAGCAGAAAGAGCAGCTCCGCACCCAGAGCCCCTGCAACCAGACCTGCCCGCCCCGCCGGGGCCTGTGTCCCCTCTCCCGGTGTCGGGCGGTGTTCCCGGGCAAGGGCAGCGCAGCCTCAGCCCGTTAGGTGCTAAGAGCACCTCCATGGTCCGCGAGCACGGCCCGTGCACGGAACCACCCGCTCCCCCGAGGGGGCTGCGCTCCCGGGGAGGATCCCGGCGCTCGACGGCGGGTGCGCCGCGGCGCCGTTTGCCGGCGCGGAGCACGAGAGGCCCCGGGGGCTC